ATATTTATATATATATATATATTCTATAAAGTTTTTATAAAATAAAAATAATAATATCAAATTAAATTAATTAAATAATATATTTTACTTTTTTTTTAAGTAAATTTATAATTTTTATTATAAATTACATTTATATTTATATAAATATGAATTAACTTAAAATATTAAATTTCATTATATTTATATAAATTTAATAAATTATAATTTAAATAAAATTCAACTAAACAAATGTCTCGCTAAAAAAAAAAAAAAAACCAAAAGAGGGAAGTTTAAAAATTAATTTACAGTTCGTATAATTCCCTATAATTAATCTTAACGTTAATATTTATAATTATTTTTGAATTATCCATTTATTAAGGTAATAATTGTTCAAAATGGTTTACATTAGATTAGAAGAAAATTCAATTATAATTATAATTATAATTATAATTATAATTTTGCGTATATAAAGCAAAAAAGTAGGGAGAAGATAGAGAGAAAGAGAGAGAGAGAGAGAGAGAGAATCGTTACATGCTGTTTGATTTTGCAATCGAATAGCCACAGAGAGGTGGTCCACGTTCCTTCGCTCCTTCTTTGCTTTTAGCCACGCGCATTCGTGTCTCTTAGTGGCAACAACTTAAAAGCTGTTAGTGCAACTTTGAACGAGTCCGAATAGCATTGGGACAGCTCGAATAACCGGTAAATTTCCCCACCAATGATGATTTAACAACAAGCTGGTCGCGATACTAAACGTTAAAATCTACATTTATTTAAAATATAAATAAACATACCATAGATCAATAAACAAAAATGAAAAGAAGAAAAATCTAAACCCATTTCGAAATGTATTTCGAATAATATCAAGAATATTTTCTTCTTTTTGTTAGAATTCATTTTGTTCAAAGTTTTCTCTCGAAGATAATTGATTTATGTCATCGATAGTGGGTTTGCATTTGCATTTTGAACAATTCCGTTCTCAGAGACTACTCTTAACCAATTATTTAAAACAATTTAAAACTATGAGAAAGTATTGCGTTAACCAGTGTGAGGTTATTTGTTTTGTTGTTGAATTATTTTTCACAATGTTTACGATTTAATTAGAAAATAATTACGTGAATGGATTATGCTTAAAAAACAAAAACAAAAATAATACGTAATTCAAATTCTAATCGATCTTTGATAAAACGTTCATTAATTAAATACTTGAAAAAAATTCATGTATACAAATAAATAAATAAATAAATACGTTCTTATTATAAAAGAGAAATTGTAGAAATCATCTGAATACAAAAAGCGTATACATTATAGTCGGTGATAATCCTCCATTAACTACTCGTTTCTTAAAGCATAATTATGAAATTTATGTCGAGTGAGAGATATAAAACGAGACGAGAGATTCTAGTAAAACAGAATAGTACAAAACATAACAGAAACAAAATAAAAAAAAAAGGATTTTACGATAGAACGTAAATTGTATTTCACTATCGTGTGCATGTTTCACGCTTTAAAACGTTCTCCTTTTATGCTCGTAAATGAAGAACAAATGAATGTTCCCCATAAGAAAACAAAATCATATATATTTATTTTTATTTAATAAAAAAAAATGTTTATTTTGTACTCTTACCCAATCCATTTTTGTCTTCTTAAAAATAACAATTTATTGTCTGGTTTTTTGTTTGTTTGTTTCTTTTCAAAAAACTAAGCTCGAGCACATTGTTTGTTGTACAAATGTGCAACTTTCTTTCTCTAATTGATTTATTTATATATAATTATTAATTTATTTGATTTTTTTTCTGGACGAGCACACAACACGCGACCTTGTTAATGGTCGATGACACCGAAGGACACATAAATACGTGAGTGAATAAAAATATTCGCGACCACCGTTCTCCAGGACGAAGAACGTACAACTGACGGAGGTCTTCTTACGATCGGTTGGAAGGTAGACGAGTCCAGAAGAGGAGAAGTCACTGTTACTTTCATGGGCCGTCTCCACCTCCAACCATAACTATCACCTTCGATATACACAAGGGGGGTCCACAAGGGGCCCCACCAACACCACCACCATTTTCATTCCATCGGCATCGAGGATCCCTTCTTCTTCTTGCTTGCTCCTTCTGTACCTTCTCAACTGGTAGAGGTGAAAGGAAGATATTTTATTTTCTTATTATCTTCTCTTTTTTGTCATGAATATTTATCTTCGTTGTTTTTCTAGATCCAGTTATCATATTATCCATTCATTTTGTTTGTCAAAATTAAATATAATCAATATTACTATTTTTTAGATTAAATATATATATCTGTCATTTCAAATATATTTACAAATGAAAATGAGAACAAACGAATGATTTACATTTCAATATATTCAGGAATGTGTTCAATGTAATATCTGTAACGATAGAATGATCATTGAAACTGTTTCAAACGTGGGTTTGAATTACCGTTTATCATGCTACCTGAACACGTTAAACTCGTATAAGAAGAACAAAAAAAACTAGGGTGTCGTAAAACCTAAATACATCGAATTATTCCAGCTCATTACGATTGCCAAGTAGTAAATAGAATGAAAAAAAAAACATGTGTGCATACAACACAAGAGTTAGAAGTGAAATCTTCAAATAAACAAGTTTCGAGGATAATTTATTATATAATATTATTATTATAATATTATTTCTACTTTTAATTTGTAATTATTTATTTAATTATTAATTTAATTATATAAAAATTCGCGCCTGTTCATATGCAACCCTCCAGACACACTTTGAAAATGTTGCTTGCGAGCGACATCTACTGGAACGGAATTTTTTTCCAGTCAAAACTGTTTATACACGTATGTATGACGGGTTGCCTATCTTTCGGGCAGAAAAAAATTCCGTCCCAACAGATGACGCTCGCAAGCAACATTTTCAAAGTGTGTCTGGAGGATTGCATACGAACAGGCGCTCATTTTTATAATAATTACAAAGAAAGTAAATAATAAAACACTTTCAAAAAATGTTTGCAAATCAAATATTTTTATAAATAATGATATAAAAATTGAACTTTAATATTGTAATTAATTTATGCATATTTTTAGAATAATATTTATTATTTTATATGAAATAAAAATAAACAAATCATGTGTGTGCAGATCACACGTGTTAAAAGTGAAACCTTCAAAAAACTAACATAAGTTTCGAGAGAATGAGACGAATTCTTATTTAGTATTAAGGTCGTTTCTTTCCCCCACAACATCGTCCGTTTCCTTTCCCCACTACATCACCACGTTTCATTTTTTCAAATCACACCCATTCTAAAGAAGTTTTCACTTTAAAAAGAAAATATAAAAGAGAGAGGTAATTCGTGTAACACTGTAGTTCTGTCTTGTTAGAAACTACATCTTGAATTGTTTTCGTGTTAAGTGAGAGAAAGAAAAGTTCCATATAAACGTGAGACGAAGGTCAATGTAGAATTTGTCGTGGTTCGAAAACCGTATTAACTTTCTTTTTGAATCATTGCCAAAACGATAGTAAAACGTGTCAAATGTATGATCGTAAAGGCCATTACTCTCCTTTTTTTTTCATTAAAAATTTAAATCATTTATAATGATATCAATAAATATTATATATAATTATTTCATTTCTATCTATAAAATAATTAATATATATATAGTCGACTATTTAAAAAATTAATATTTACTATACATTATAAATATTACAACATATATACAAATTTCATATATCAATGAAATAGAATAAAATAATTTATTCAACTTCTTCTTCTTCTAATCCAACCGTTTCAGGATTCAAGACTGATTTTTTACTCTTTTTTATCACGCTCTCTGTAATAATTTACAAATATATATTTTATTAGTAAATATTTTGATATAGTGATCATATAATTTGATATTAAAAATGTATAGTATATACCTTCGTGAAAATGTTTAGCAGTTCTTTTTCTAATTTCTTCAATGCCCTCTTCCTTTTGAGCCCATTCTAATACTAATCTTCTGCCGTACAAATGAGTACTCTGACATAATGCTTGAAATGCTCTCTAAATTGATACAATAATTATATTTCTTTTAAATTCAAAAAGTATTATAATAATAAATTTATGATTGCATACAATTTAATAATTCATTACCTTTGCTTCGCTTCTCGTGTAATATTCAACGAAACCAAATCCTCTATGTTTTTCAGCGCCTATCAATTTTTTTGGTAATCTTACAGCTTTCAATTCACCAAATGCTCTGTAAATATAAAATAACAAATTAGATTATCTAAAATACACCAAAAAGAAATCTATACATATATAATAAAATATAAATACGCACTTAAATAATTCTGCAATTTCTTGGACTGTCGCTTGGAATGGTACATTTCTAACTAAAATTTTGGTTCCCGTTTGTGGTGTTACTTTAGATGATTTTTTTGCAGTTTTAACATCGCTCCTATAAATAAGTTTAATAAAATTATAATCAAAGTATACTATTCATATACACATATATATTTTTAATAACAATATAAACATACGCGAGTGTTCTCTCAGATCTTTTTAATTCCAAAGTTTTACCATCGAGTACTGTCATTTGTAATGTTTTTAAAGCACGATTTGCATCGTGTTGATATTTATATCTAACAAAACCATAACCCATGGACAATTTTCCACCAGGATTTGATAAATCTTTTTTAGTCGCTATCATTGCGTAATGAATGGGACCACATTTAGCAAAATACTGAAAAATTACAATTATATATATACAATTATATATTAATTATTATTACAATTATATAAACAAGTATATAATAATAAATACAATTATATATAATATATATATTTTGATATACGTTTATGAAAGAAAGAAAATAAATTTAATATAAAGTACCTCTTTCAATGCACTTTCGGTAGTCGAGAAGTTAATATTTTTAACAAAAATAGTTGTTTCTGGTTCAGGTTCTTCGTCGTCTTCCTCCATTTCTTTATTTTCTTCATTCGAATGTTTTTCATTTGACTTATCTTTGTCTACATTGTTCATTTCTACAGATGCCACAGTGTCCGGCAATTTATTTTGAACGTTATGTTTATTTTTATTTTTATTCGATTCGCTAAGTTTTTTCGTAAAACTATTATCCGGCGCCCATTCCAGATAAAGTGGTAAATGTTTGAATTTAGTATATGCTAATTTTGTAAATGCTTTGCGTGCTTCTGAAGGTTCTAAAAATTCCACCAAGGCTGGAAAATGAGACAAATTTACAAATGAATATTTTTTTTCTTTTTATATCTCACGTGTAATATTATTTTATTGATTTATAATATTATACTAAACCTGTTATTCCTGATGGTGGCATAACAACTCTTCCAAGTTCTCCATGTTTAGAAAACATGTTATAGATTTCCTTAGATTCTGTACCAGCTGGTAAATTTTTAACCAGTATAACATTCTTCGATCGTGTTTCTGAAGGCTAATAATACATATATAAATTATAATAAATATAATTATTATTTAAGTCAAATATTTCATTTAGATAATTTATATATATATTTGTATTTACTTGATTAAATGCGTCCAAAGAAACTTCGTTTTCTTCCAAAAACTTTTTGGTCTCCTGTACTAATTGTGTTTCACCCAATGCTAATTTAACGGCAGTACTCATACCTTTTGAATCATCTTCCAATACCTTTAATATTAAATGACATATATAAACGTAAAAAAAAAAATTGTTAGAAAAATAATTTTTCAATATAATATAAAATGTTCATACGTGTTCTTTAGTCGTGTTGTATGTTGCAGCTATTGCTTCAGCAATAGCATTTTGTCCCAAAAATAATGTATTCCAATTGTGAGATGAATTTGCAGTCATTTTATTTTGTATTTCTTTCTTCTGTTTGTAAGGTAAATTTTCTATATGAAAAAGAAAAGGAACATTGAAACAATGAACATTTCAAATCTTTTTCAATTTTCAAAATTATATTATATTTCCAAAAAAAATCTACCTAAATCAACGTGATCCAATATAGAAGATTTTGCTTTGCCTGGAAGCAAATGTAACATTCTACCATTTAAGATAGAACCATCCAATTCAGTATAAGCTTTGATAGCATGTTCAGGCATTAAAAACGTTATTGTACCAAAACCTTTTGGTTTTCTGGTAGTCCGATCCACGGGTAAATTAACTTCGGTTAAGGGGCCTAATGAAATTAATGTTATATTAAGCAACATCTAAAGATATTATCATAGATGATAACAAGAAAAAATATTCAATTTACCATATTTTTCAAATAGTTGCCTGATGTCATCCTCTGTTGTCGTATAAGTCAGATTTCGTATAAACATTCTTCCAGATTCTGCTATACTTTCTTCATTTTTTAATGACTCCTCTTGTTTTTTCCATTTAACATTAGAGTTGTTAGTTTCTGTATTGTTATCTTCTTTAATTTCTAAATGTTCTTCGTATTTCGTTAAAAATATCTGTTTACCTTCTAAAAAATCAAAATAAAAAAGCTAATAAATTTGTAATCGTGAAAGAAAAATTCATGAAATTTCTTCTCACAGTATTCTTACCAAAAAAACTTTTATTTTTTAATAAAGCCTTTCTCATTTGCTGTTCAGATTTAAATCCAACATAAGCTATCCCTTTGATTTTTGGTGGTACGCGTATAGATTTTGGTTTTAAAGGATGAAAAAATTGTTTGATGTGTTTCTTTTTATGGTTGTATCCTAATCCTCGTAATTTTACTGTAAAAAACTTGACAGGACCATGCTTTGATGCAGATACTTCTTTCTTCTCAATAGTTTGTGTTTTTTTCTTTAAAGCTTCCATATACTATTCAATATAAAACAATGATTATATTATACAAATTAATCAAATAAAATATATAAAAGTTACTTTTTTAATTAACAACTTACTTCTAAATCTGATATAACTTTATTAGCAATCTTTTCCTTCTCATCTTTTTCTTCTTTCATTTCTTTATCTTCTTCTTTATCTCCTTCATCATTTTTATGAGCAGAATCATTTTTCTCATCATTTTCTTGATCTCCTTGGTTCGCTATAGTTTCGATTACAGCATCATTTATCCAATTTTTCTTTGAATCTGCTACAGCATGACTTTCAAGAAATTCCATGAACAATGGATCATCTTTATGCTACATTTAAATGAAAATTATATTATTCATATCTTCTATGATAAAATAGTATCATTTAGAAATATCATAATAAGACTCGTACCTTTGCAATGGCTTCTTTAACCTCTGCAGATTGTTCTTCCTTATTTTTCTTCTTTTTCTTTTTTGCTTCTTTAGGAGTTTCATTTTCATTATTGTTCTCTGCTTTACCATCTTTATCATTTTTGGTTTTATCATGTAATTGTTTATAAGAAGAACTATCCGGTGCATATTTACTCCATGATTTTGGTTTTGATGGGTCACCTGATTTCAATTTTGTTAATAAATTATTTTTCTTTCATTAACTTTTCTATTTATAATAATATTTTTAATTCAATTACCTAAATCAGCACACACATCCACAGATATTCTAAAAGTATCTATGCAAGTTTTATCAAAATATTCTTTAGCTTTTAATGCTTCTTCTTCAGTTTTGAATCCAATAAAACCAAAATGCCTGAACTTTCCATCTTTTGTATATTTCAATTGTACATCGGTAACTATACCTTTTTCACTAAACAATTCTTTCAATTTAGGTTCAGTAACCTATTGATATAAAAAAAAGAAACTTTTAAAAATAATTATACATTTATTTGAATAAAATCTAATTAAAATTACTTACACTCTTAGGTAAATTTTTTACAATTAATCGAGACATAATTAATTAWTTAATATTAATTCACGCACTGTAAAAAATATTAACCAATCTACTGTATATCACTTGAAGCACATGTGCAATTTACGGTTATGTTTACATTCTTGATGCACTTTGCATTCCAATATGGCGGCTATAATTTGATTGGCTATTCACTTGCCCGCGAAACGCAACAAATTTTAAAATGCATTATATGCACTTTATCAAATAAAACGCTTATATATTTAATTTTTGGTATTATCAGTATAATTAAATTGAATAAATTTCAATTTATGTTATATCTCGTTGATAAAAAATAATAGAAATATTTATTTTCACAGGAAACGTGAAATTCAATGAAATTTCTTAATGAAGTTAAACGAAACGACAAATGGAGGCGTTGCATGTACTATTCCATTCACTGACACACACACAGTGGCAGGATAATGTTCATTGCTCGATATGTGCAACGACGACGATGAGAATATAGAAGCATCGTAAGAGAAACACCTGTTGCTCGTATTCGTCGGAATAATGACCCATCTACTAAAAAATGTGACGAACAGTATTTGGCACGCGTTTTACGCGTTGCAAGGTGATACGCCTGATCTTGTCGCTAAATCTAAGTTGAAGGTGAGTCATGCTTGTTGTTTTTCTTTGTTGATATTGACTTTTTTATTTCATTTCTAACGACTTTTCGAAGCTAAAGATTTATGGGATTGTATTATTTTTCCATATTCGGGTGTGGCTACTTAATTCACATGATATTTTTATAAAAATGTTTTCTTCGTTTATTGATTTCTTTTACGTTTAATTTTTGTCCTTTTTTTCTTCTTTTTTTCCATAGGTGTTAACAGCCAACATCGGTACGTTAATGGACTTATATGGTGTTGAAAAAGGTCTAGAACATTACCGTAGTACTCAGAGTCTCACTTTTGACCAATACATTTTTTATTTACAAAAGGAGGTATATAATAATTTGTTTATTTTTTTTTCTTACCATTATTTTATTTATATTATTTAATTAATTTATTGTTTTTTTTAATGAATTATATTATAGGTTTTCTCATCTATTACCGATGCAACTTCAATACAAATACACAGGTCGTTGGAAGAAGGAATTGATGAAATATGTTGGTTGATTTGTAAAAGAATGTATTTAGAAAGATCACATCCAATATTTGAACCCAACAGTGTCTATCAATTGTTTAGAGTATTCTGTTTATTAGCTGAACCAGAATCAGATAACACGGATTTTCATATGGTTAGTACAATCACATAATGATTTATTATTATTCTTTTATTAAATTCTAAATAAATCTACTTTTTATTTAGATTGCAATGCATACAGATGAAGTTGCTCAAATTGCTTCTCATTTGGTAACGTCGTTAGGATTGCAATGGGATGCAGCAGATTTTTCAGCTTTATCAGCAGCTATTGGAACATTTAGGTATTTTGTATATGTGATATGAATTGTTTATCATTGTTAGATAAACTATTTTGAAAATTTTATTTATATATTTTTTGGAAGGTTTCCTACATTCCTGGCAGTTTTGGAATCCAAATACAGCGGTGGAAGAACTTCAGATAACATAGCATTGACTGAAGCTATCGATGATCTTTATCAAATATATATAGAAAATGTGATTAAAAAGGTAAGATATTCATTGATATATGTTAAAAATATAATTTAAGAATAACATTTATCAGTTAACATATATTTTGACAGGGATATTTAATGAAGAAAGGTTTCTTGCTTCCAACATTGAAATATTTTTGGTTTGTTCTTCGTCCCGGTGAATTATTATATTTTAAAGATTCCCAACAAAGGGAACCATCGGGTTCAATAATATTGAGTACAAATTGTTGGGCCGATGCAATTACTACTGGTGGAAAACCTGACAGAAGATTCGTGCTAAGTACACCTGAACATAGGGCTATCGAATTAGTTGCAGATGATCACAAAGGACGATTACAATGGTTGGCAGCATTACAAATCGCTATTCAACATTCTGGTGAAAAAATTGGTTATCAAAGAAGTTTAGCTAATCAAAGGAGATCTTTAAGACAAGTTAGTTATTAAAACAAACATTTGTTATTTTTTTTTATTCTATATGTGTATATTAATTTTGATAATAATAATTATTATTATTATTAGTCAATGAAACAAGAAAAAGAGAAAACAAGACTGGAATTGCAATTTGAAAGGCAAGCTAGAATTGCAGCTGAAATTCAAGCTAGAAAATTGGAAGCATTGTCGAAAGAGGAAGGAGCTAAGGTTCACGAATTGGAAGAAGCTAAATTAAAATTAGAAAATCTTTTGCAAGAGGAAAAGCAAGCATTGAGAGACGAAGAAATAGGTGACAAATATATACATCCCTGTGTTTTGTATTTCTTAATATTTTATTTTCTTTAAAAGTATTTATCAAATGTTCTTGTTATTCTTTGTAACACAGTTCGAAATCTTCAAGCGAGAGTTCTTAGAGAAGAATGGGAAAGAAGAGAACAATTAGAAAAATTACAACAAGAACAACAAGATTTATTAGAACTGGAAAAAATGAAAAGGTTGGAATTCGAACGTAAACAGCAAGAAAATGAACATCAATTACGAGGTACGCGTATCGTAAATTTTCATATTCATATATATATTAAAAATTAAAGAACTTTTCTATAAACATTTATATTATATATTTGCAGATGCAGAAATGCGATTACAAATGTTGGAGGCTGAAAAACAAAGTTTAGATGCAGAACTTCGTGCAGCTCAACAAAAGGTTAAACGTGCGGAAGAGGCACAGATTTTATTGGAAGCGCAAATTGTTGTTACACGTCCGTTAAAGAGCGGTGAAAAAATTAGACGTACGCAAAGTTTTATACCAACTACGAAGGAGAGACCATTGTCCATGGAAAAGTTTGATCATAGATCGATGACCCTGCAAAATAATTGTTGATGATACATATATGTTATTACACACTGAATAAGCAATAGCAGGAGATGTTACTATTTCTATAATCGTCTGTATTAATTGAAGTGAAATTCTTTTACCGCAAAGATATAATTATGAAGAAAAAAAAAAAAACATATTAAGATTATACACAACATTTTGATATATCTTTTATCAGGGTATTAACACTATAGTTCCTTACTCCAAACTCTTGCCGCGTTATTAAATTTAGCCAAAGTGCATAAGAATTTGTTTTAATATACATATATATATATACATATGATGATGACGATAATAATGATTTTAATATATATAATGAACTACTAATATAATAACGAACAAATAACAAATTAATTTTTCTTGTACATAAATATGAATTTTGTATAATGTTTTAGCGTCGTTAGCATAGCTAAGTTACAATAAGTATTAATTATTATGATATGCAGAATATTTAACACATAATATTGTTATTTAACTTTACATATAAAAATTGCGATATTTTTTTTAAGATCCATGTCGATATTTTTATAGCTATTTATATATATGGTTAAAATAATTTATATTCTTCCAACTTTATATATATAATATAACACTGACATATACTATATAATATATACATGCATTGTGTGAATGCATTGGTGATGACAGAATTGATCAAACAAATTCAGAACTGTTATATTATTGCGAACGATACAGTAGTACAAGTTACGTATTTGCGTGTGTTTATCAGTACTGAAACATATCGTGCACACACACACAAACAAATCAGTTTTTATAAGTTTTTTCAATTTAACTAATATTTATAAGATACTAATATATTGTAACACAAGTATTATTTATACATCCAGACATTGTATTAGGACAAAAGATATATATTAATATATATATATATATATCCTTCGTATTTGATAAATATATGTTAAGTAATAATTTAATATATATAAATAAATAAATAAAAAAAATATAATGCCGCCAAAAAGAAAAAGTAAAGCTAGTAAATTTGCTCGTATGAGTGAGGAAGAACGTGCTCGTTATATGCAGCATCGTGCAGAATTAGAATTAGAAGCGAAAAGACGTAAACAACAATTGATAGCAATTTTTAGTAAGGTAACACATATCCACGACAATAAACTATATATATATACATGATCAGAAAATATTTGTTATATTTTTATTTGAAAGTAACTACATTAAGGAATTTCTTTTATTTAGAACAAACTGAAACGTGAAGAAGCATTTTCAAGAATAAATACAGCAAAAATAAACGAACAATGGCGATTCATTCTTCGTCAGATTAAATGTAAAGAATTTTATGATGATATTAAATATCTTTGGAAAAATTTTGATAGAATGATTAATACTAAGGATAAAATAATACAATTGTTGTATGTAGAAATAGAAATGGCAGATATCGATCATAGAAGATTGCAAGAAGCTCATATTGGAATTATAGACAAAATTATTGGTAATTATTATTGTATTTGTAATTTTTCAAATATATAAATATTTGAAAAGAAAAAGACATTTTTGGTTGTTTAGAATTGTACGCCCAGAAACTTAGAGCTTTGTGTGATGATTACGTTAATAAAGTGCATAGCATTCAAGGTAAAGAAACAGTGGAATTAAATAAATTAAAATCGTATATGGAAAAGAATTGTGACGAAATTAAATTGATTACTGTGAATGAGAAAGTAGAATTGGAAAAAATATTAGCTAAGACTAATTCGCAAAATGCTGTTAATATTTGTAATTTAATTTCATTGGTAAGAACAAAATGAAATGAATTATTCTTGTTTTATTTAAAATTTACTGATCATATATTTTTTTGTATATTTGAATTTTGATTTACAGAGAAAAGATATGATGCTAGAACTTAAGAATAAAATTTCTATTAAAGTAGAAAATTTATCGAAACAATTAAATGAGATAATGTTAGAATATAATACAACTACTGAAACCAAGAGGAAAAAATATGAATCATTGAAAGAACAGGATGATGCTAATCTAACAGAAATGACACAATATCCAAAATTAATTACACAATTGCAAAATAAAATAAATAATGTAAAAAATGACACAGACATTTTATTGGAAAGAAGAAAGTCTAGCATTAACGAATTAAGATATCAGATGAAATTTATAAATCATAAATTATTAACAGTAAAAAAAAATTTCAAAACGGATCAAATTTTACAATCTGAACAATTAAAAAAATTAAGCGTTGTTTGTAATACCGTCATTAAGGTGAAAAACAAAGTTCATTATTTAATCTAATTAATCTTATATTATAATATTTTTTGTCTATGTTTACAGGATTTAGAAAAAATTCATGAAAAAAGTATTGCACTGTTATCATTGATGAAATTGTGTTCAGAATTAGAACCTTTATCGGTATCTATTAAAATGTATATATCTTCTAACATAGATCCTGTAGAAGAATCAAGCATACATTGCGTGAGTGTTCCATATAAAATCATACAAATTGAATGAAATTTTGAAAAATTTTATATTAATTATTTATGTAAATATATACATACATAGATATCTAAACCATTTGAAAAATTGGAAAAATTTTGGATGCGTTACAATTATATAAAGGTTGAAAATATTTCCATGAAGAAAGAATGCAATAAGTTATCAGCAGAAAATAAACATCTAAGATACATGTTACGAAATTATCTCATCAGTGTTTCCAGAATAAAGAGTACATTACCAATTACGTCAATTGCTATTTAAATAACAATTGCAAAACAAAAATAAGTACAACTTTTTTCAAATAAAAATTCTTTTATAATATTTATATAGATCATAATTATATTTAAAAATAATTTCTACTGTCTATAACTAACGATGAGTAAATATTCCTCCTCCTAATGGCAAATATTTGTAAGGCCTTGCACGTGTACGTCCTCTGACAGGATGGAAAAAGATTTTTTCTTTGGGTGCCATGCTTTCTGTTTCCAAATATATATCAAAGCATGCTCTTAAACGTTGTAATTGTGCCGATATCGTCGGAGGTTTTGTCCACATAACATTAACTTCCCTTTCAATGTCCCTTAAAATATCAACTGATGCAGGAACCATAGGACTTATGCTTATGCTAAACAACGCTGCTACTTTTGGATAATCTGGTTTTATAGCAATCCTAGCTATAAGTTCACCTAGAAAAATATTTGATATTTTAATATCTAATATATAAATACATTTATTAAAAAAAAAAAAAAAAGAATATAACATACTGCTTCCACGACGTAATACAGCTTCATAAAAGATATCAACAGATGATACTAATCCTTCTCGACAAATTGGTGCGCTACTATAATTAGCATAATTTTTCCATGTCATTGTAGTAAATCTATGCAACGAAGTTGTAATTTTTTGTGGCAGTGGATTAATGGTATTTACAAGAATAGGTAAATTTCCAGATTCCAATCGACGAATTTCTCGGCATAATTCTAATCTAGCTTTTACACGTCTTTTTATTTCTTTCAGAACACTTACAACGCTATCTTGCGTTGATTCTTGAACGGTAGGCTATAAATTAAATATAATATAAGAAAATTGTTAAATATTAATTTAATATATGAAGTATACAAAAAAAAAAAAATGATTTACCTTTTGATCGGAAGAATTAGCTGAAATAAAATGTAATCCAGCCATTCTTTGAGCCCATCTATAAGGAATACCTAATCCTAAACTTGAAAATGATCCTAAATTGTGGCGTGCTAGTTGATAATGATTGGCAGGATTTGGACTTTCTATACCCAAATCGTTGGGATATAATTCACGAAGAACTGATTCTGATACGAGCATGTCTCTGTTGGAAAAAAATCAATTTGGTTTAATATAAATTCAGGACCATATATAAGAGTAGTATAATCAAATTGAAATTACCCAGCACTAATGCCTCCAGAAACATCAGTTTCGAGTTTAGATTCTACCGTAACCACTTTTAAATGTATCATATAAAAAAATTGTAACGTTAATTTGGTTTCAGCTGAAAAATAATCGTTATAAATTATTCGTATCAAAACATTTCTATAAATTATTATTTAATTGTTTTTTTATAATGAAATCACTTACTTTTCATTGAAATGATAAGTGTTACGTTTAAAGGATGCCTCTGTAATAATTTAGATCTTTTTTCTTCTTGTCTAGCTTCTTTAGATAATCTGTGATGTCTTTTTTTATGTACAATTGTTTCTTCTACGATATTCTCTAACTGAGTTTCAGGATCTGAATCTGATTCTTGTAATCCATCTTGATTATTTGTACGTTTTGCTTCGTCTTTATCACCTTCCACTTTTATGATAATTGTATTATCTGTAATACAATTGATTAGTATTAAAAATAATTCATTTTGAATATATAACACTTAACTTACCATATGCATCTCGATATGCAGTTGCTTTTGCATAAAGTACATATAAAGGTGATGCGAGTAAAGCTGCTTTCTGATGTTCTTGTCTAACTTTATCTAAAGGTAATCCGAGACTTTCTTGCAATGGTTTACTTGCCTGTAAAAATATATTCATAAATATATATACATACAATAGAATAAAACAGAATATTGAAAGATAAAAAGAAATTACCTCTAGTATGGCTAAAAGTTGAGGTGCAAGGTTATCCAATCTAGTTTGTTTGGATTCCATATCGGCTGTAACCGCTTTCTTACTTTCAGTTAATTCATCACATAAAGCAGCCAACTGTTTCCGTTGAGTTAATTCCCATTCAAGTCGAGCTAATCTTAATTGATGTGGGTTCGTTTTTGTTATTTCCTAAAACAAATGTTTATAATAGAAATGTTAAGTATTTTCTTTTTTTTTTTAACTTACAGGTCTAGATATGCTTTCAGGTGCTTCTCTATAAAATTCTTCTTCTGGTACAAGTTGTATCAATTCATCTTTTGATCTAAAAACAAAAATACACATATTATTTAACATATATTTGTGATTTATCAATTTTGTTTTGTATAAAAGACACAAAATGAAAACATACTTAAATTGTAGACATTTGATAACTTCTTTTTTTAAATGCATAACCTCGTATAATAAATTTTGTAATTGTAAATGTTTGCTATCGACACTACTCTTAGCAGCAACTAAAGAATCTCGTGCAAATTTAGTACGAAACTTTTCCATCCTATTAAGTTTCTTTAATTCAATAAATGATAAGGATGTTTGAATTTGTAATTCGTGTACTTCTTCTTCTGCCTGAAATATTATTTTCTTTTTTTACTTGCACAATAAATTATAACTTAATTGATAATAATATTTTGAAATAATAGAAAAATTCTGTAATAAATTGTAATACGTACATTTGAATCATTGCTAAGTTTTAACTTAGCAATTTTACTCATTGCTTTCCGGATATTTTCACATGTAGATAAAAAACTTTGCGAATCACTTTCAGATGATCTTTCCAAAGCCTCTTTTTCTTCATTGGTGATTATAGTCTAAACAATATAATTTTTATGTTAAAAAATTGGTCTTTTAGATATTATTATTGATAAATAGAAATGAAAACTAACCTTATACATGTCTCCATCTTTTAACCATGGGATAGTACCAGTACTAATAGATTTTCTCCTTTTTTTGGAAGTATCTGTATCATTTTCTTTACCCATTTTATAAATTATAAAACATTAACTTATTCTTAATACAAATCTTTGTAAAATATTACTACGATACTACGATCTAATAGCATATTACTGAAAATAAGTTACTAATAGAAATGCAATATAAATTTAATGCATTGCAATGTAAGTTTTGAAAATTAGTCGTTGGTGGCGCTGCATGTCAAAGGATACACAGTAGTCAAAATAAAAAGACTACAATATACAATTTGACAAAGTTGTACTGAATATAAATGAAATATAACTTAAAAAAGAAATATTAATAAATATGAATATAAATAATGGATTTCTTAAATATATTTTTGTATACATACAACATTAATGACATCTACAAAGTATTGTAACATTTTATAATTTATAATTAACTAGTTTTAGCTGGCTCAAAGGTATAATGTTTTACACCAGATTGAGGATATTGCTTTTCCATCTAAAAGAATAATCATAGATATATTTGTAAATGAATGTTTAAATGATATACATCATTTTGATAATATTGCTAACTTACTACAGGTTGGAACCATGGATAAGATTGGAGAAAGTAAAATAATACTCCGAGGGCTCCTGTTGTACCAAAGAACATAAATATTGCTTGCACAAATGTTACATGTTTCCGAACTCCAGCTGAATACCGATCTTCTCCAATTATATCTGCTTCGATATGTACCTAGGAAACATGAACATTAATGTAATGAAATCAATGAAATTAGTTTAAGTTCCAATACCATTTAAATTATTACCGCTTCATGAAGATTTCTTCTGAATTCAGGAAAATCATAGGGATAATATGGATCTTTTGCTTCTGGACCAACAAATGGCAGTTTTGGATAATCACCGTATCCAAATCCATTTGGTTCATAAGCTTCGTATTCCCGTGGATGTAAATTATACTTTTTAGCTGCCTTTTCTATTTCTTCCTTTGATGTCGGTACTTCTTTTTCGGCTCTCCATAAGGAAAAGTGTGGCCTTGCTTAAAAACAAAATAAAATAAATTTAAGAACAGGAATAATTCATTGGATGAATAACTTACATAATAAAATAATAACCTATTAAATAGTTGAGAGTATAAAAAGGTGACTAAACTTAATAACAAGATTAGAATACTTACTTTCTTCGCTATAATTAGCTTTTATAAATAATTTAATTTTGTTTCTTGGTAGCAATAAGCCTCTCAATGTCATACAATTTTTAAGAAGAACCATTCTCGTTGAAGGAAGTTCTGTAACGTCAAACTGGAATGGTTAAATGCAGTCGACTAATTGAAGCACGCGCATTTGTGTGCAAGTATATATATTTACCCTAAGATCTCATGACAATTATATATTGACTAATCAATTAAATTATTTGTCGTTGTGGGTTCTTTAAACTATTAAAAAAAAAAGATTCAATTTAAATAAATTTAGTCATAAAGTTTAAAATAAATCTTATCATTTATTATCAATTTTCTTTTGGTTCACCCTATATACGTAATGTAGAGTTCTTCCATACCTACAGGGCAAGTACATAAACTTTTAATTAAAGATCTTAATGTCAATTGAAAAATTACAAATTTATTTTATTTACGAATTAGATTTTCTTTCAATCTTGTATTCGTTTAATATAAGAAAAAATAAAAAATTTATATTTTTCGATTATATATAGTGGACTTTATTTTGTCCAATAACTGTCATTCTACGTTCGTTTACAAAGAAACGATTACGTTAATCTGACCTTTCTTTCGTAAAAATCAATTTTCTACTGTTTAGTCGGCATTTGATTTGGTTTAATTACGACCTGATTTCTTCCTAAAATTATTTGTACAAATATAATAGAACATATTAGTCGAAAAAATAAGTGTATAAAGTCTTAAAAGAAATGGGTGTCTTTGTTATACGATGACTGGCTACATGAAAGCTGAAATTCAAGATGGCCGACTGCGTGGGTTCGTTAATGTTCGTGAATTCAGATAACTGTTGTGGATAATTGACAGTAAGAAAAAGGGTGAAATCGTTTAATTCAAGTTCGTCTAAATTCATTAGACAGTTTTGCCTTTTCAAGCTGATATTACCGACGGTAAGTTGAATATTATGATAAGTTTAGAATTTGAGTAAGGTTCGGCCAAGTGTGATGAAAGGGATATTCAAGTTTTTACATTTTTTCAATTAGTTTACTTTCTTACTATAGGATTATAAGTCAATTTTAAGCAATGTTATTGGTCACATTTGTTTTGTTTAGTATTATCGTAGAATAATAATAAATTATTGTAAGTTTTATGTTTTATTGTGTTGGTATTCATGGGTCTTTTTTCTTTTTTTTTTTTTTACAATAACTGCTTGTTGGAGGTGTGTTTCTCTGATAATTAATAACGCGCGTAATGTAAATTAAATTTAATTGTCATTGAAAATATTCAAATATCCTAATATAAATAGAATTTTATTTTCTATTAACTACTGTCATAGAGATACAATAAAGTAGGATAATAAAATGAATGCTAATATTTTCTTATTAGTTTGATAAGAGTATGATGTATAGTTTGAATTTGTAATCTTTGTGTAGTATAATTATTGAGTAAGCTGGAGTCTGACTGCAGTAACATGGCGAGCCCGTCGCCTCAATCTTCTCCTATGCCTCCGCCACAAGCTCCGAGTCCAATGGGTCCTCCACAACAGGCTCCATCTCCTTCTAATCCTCAAGGCAGTCCTATGGGTCCTCCGCAACATCATCCGCACAGTCCAACACAAGGATATCAAGGTGGGCCACCAATGCCACCAGGCGGTCCTCCGATGTCACAACCTCAGCAACAACCACCTTCACAACAACAAAATTACCCACCTCATCCTCAACAAATGCCACCTAATATGGGTCCTCAGGTATTTAATTCTTATTGTTTTTTTCAAAACAGTATAACTTTGTAACATGTCTTTTTAACTTATTTCTTTTTTGTTTTATAACTGTTAGGATAAAATGTAATTGCATTTACATTAATGGAATAAATGTCGATCGATGATGTTATCGAAATGATTATTACAATTGGATATTACAAATATTTATTAAGATGGAAAGTATATAAAATAATTTCTATTTACTGTCAAAGAAATTTATAAAAATAAGGTCTCTAGAATATAAAATATTATTTTATAACTAGATGTGTATAGATTTATACTAATAGTATAATTATAATCTGCTTCTTGAAAAAGTTTAACTAGATGCTTAGCGATGGTTCAATTGCAAACTGTTATAACTTTTATAGCCATTACATTGAATTGAAAGATTTCTGTTTACAATAGGCCATTTGTATTTATCACAGTTCTTTTTGTTTCTTCCTACATTCCTACTTGTAGATGTATCTACAGATGTACCTCTACTTTTTTCTCTTTAATATCTGAAGTTTCGACAACATCATTGCAATTTAATATAACATAAGTACCATCGTTTTTAATAATCATATTCTACAAATAAGAAAATATTAGTAATTATTATATAATATAAGATATAATATTAAATTATTTAATTCTATTATAGGTATACAAATAGCAAGTAATTATATTTATCTTATATATTGGATATTTTCATTTGTTTTCTGTTAAGGAATCCTTGATGATGTTGTATTGTAGAAAAGGATTGTTTTTTGATAGGATTATGAACTATTCCTATCTCTATTTTTGTATTTTCTAAAAGAGTCCAAGAAATGCAAACGTGTGGAAATTGATGGGAAAAATTAACAAATACTATTTATAGGATTTATTATCCTATTGAATTGTTAGTCAGTTTTGGTAATTTAATTTGTATTGTATTTTCTTTACCAATAATTCTACAAATGAAAAGTTTGCTATATATCTTTTTATAGATCTTTATCAGTTATTAATTAAACATACTTGTCTGATGGAAAATTTTTAACTAATTGTTTGATTATTTAGTATTCTATCTTATGTTCATAATTTGTTAGAAGATCCCAGTTGATACTTTTACATTCTTTCATTTTTGTTTATTGAATTTTTTAACATCTACACAATTAGACGAATAATAATAATAAGAAGAGATAGAATAAAAATATAATCAAAAATAGGATAAAAGTTTTTATATATTTCACGTTTCACATTGAATATATGAATTGTATTTTTTAGTGAGAGTTAGCGTGACCATGACCTTTAAAGGTACGATTTTTATTTTCTTTTTTTTTTTTGTCTTCTTAATTTATATATACACACACACATATCTAATACAAATATGTTCATTCAACCAAGTAAACTGATTTATTTGCTACATTGTAACATTTAAAAACGTTGACTATCTTGTTCCTCTGTCTGGTAATATTTAATACTCCTCATTAATACTCTTTGAACCAAGAAGCTTTGTCTGATATTATCTAGCAGGTTTAGTTGATAAAAAAGAAAGAAAAAATCTGTACTTAGTATTCACTCTTGATTTTCTATACACAAATAATATTTTTGTAAACTAAACTTTTCATTTGTCGTTTAAATTAATTAGAAATATTAACATATCATGATTTTTGTTCAAATACATAAGATCAGGTTGAGATTTGAATTAAGACTACACTCATTTACACTTTCCAAGTATTTTGTGAGCATGCGATCTTTCCTACAAACGTCACTCAAGTATAATTTAAATAGTATTTCCTAGAACGATTGTTTTATTTCTTCTTGGCCTCGAGAAATTTTTATCTTACCACAATCAACGTGTAATAATGGTTAGAAGAAACTATAATGTAATTATTTACTATAGTATGGTTGTATATAACAAAAGATCATAATTATATCACATTTTGATTTTTATTTGAAACTTTATTATCTTTATTTTTTTTTTTTAGAAACCAAATTCAACAAATCAATTTTTATACAATTGAAATATAAATGAAATATTATTTAAATGTTATGTTATATTATTACATAATGAATTATTTCATAACATATACATAAATGAACAAATGTCTATATTTATATAGATAAAATTTATGATTTATTTCTCAAGGATACTTTTTCATCAGCTTCACGTATTATTCTAACAAATTCCTTTGCTATTTTCTTATTGCAAGCACCTATAGCTCGTGGTTTCATAATATCGATTTTCTCACCTGTGTTTTTTCAAATATTTAAAAAAAAAATTATTATTATTATTATTATTATTATTATTATTATTATTATTATTATTATTTTTATTAATAATAATAAACGTGGAGTTAGTTTTCAAAAATGATTTCATATCAAATAATAGTCTTAATTAAAATAAAAAATCTTAAAAAACAGAGACGTTAATTACCTGTTACGCGATCAACCACGATACCACCTGCTTCTGTGATAATTAAAGATGCAGCCGCGATATCCCACGTGGAAATACCTGGACCTTCGATGTAGTAACCCTCAACTATACCCAATGCCACGTAACAAAGAGTCAATGCTGCTACTCCAAGTGTACGAATACTTTCATAAAATAATTCTAATTAATACAAATTGTCGACATTTCTTGGGACTTCTCAGTCATTAGTAAATTATTATAATTTCTTTTTATATTATTATTATTATTATTTTTTAAAACAATATCCATAGGATAAGATCAAGTAAAGATGAATTTGTTCAAAATTTATATACGTCATGGTACACGATATATTATTTAATGAAGAAATAATAATAAAATAATATAATTTATTATATTTAATTAATTATTAATATTATTTTGATTATTTAATTTTATCTTACCCCTGTGCTATAGATGCAACAGCTTTTACACGTTCAACGGTTATTTCCTTTAAATAATCGATTTTTATAAAACCAGGTTCTATGCAAAGCAAAGCTTTCGATATATCTGAACAAGAGATACAAATTATTTCTTCTTTTTTTTTTTTCTTTTCTTCTTCGAATATTTCCTTTATATATATTTTGATTTTATTTTACTTACCTTGAACTTGTGATACTTGAATTCGTTTTCCATTTAAATAAGCACCTTGACCTTTACGAGCAGTAAACAGTTGGTCATGAATCGGATTACAAACAATACCCAAAACCATTTCCTTTTGAATAGCTAATCCAACAACAACACAAGTATGCGGAAATCCGTGAATAAAATTAAGTGTACCATCGATCGGATCAATGATCCATGTAGGATCGTTAGTTAATTCAGGTAATTTTTGTCCCGTTGATTCTTCAGCGATAAATCTAAAGTGTTAGTAAAAACGATAAAAATAAAACAAGGAAAAATAGAAGACAAGAAAAAAACATATCATTCATTGGTTCTAAGCATTTACGATAATTATTTAAACTCTGACTCATTTACCTATGAGTAGGATATATACTCTTTAATTTATTAATAATAATATCCTCTATTTTTTTATCAAATTCAGTAACAAGATCCCAATCCCCTTGTTTTTCATTTATATTTTTCGAACCGTTAATGGCACCTTTAAGAATCTTTGAAAAAAAAAATAAAAAATACAATTCAATATATCAAATTGTATACATTCAAATAAATAGTATGAACATTTTTGACATTTGTATAAATTAGTTGATTGAAAAAATACTAATAATTTACCTTAGCAGATTCTTGAACAAGTTTCAAAGCAATTTCGTAATATTCATCTTCGATTTGTCGTCCTGCCATTTTCGAGTTAACAATAATTTTTTTTTTTTTTTTTTTCCAACGAACTCGTTGTGACTCGTTTACGATCAGCTTGTGAAAAGGTTCGAAGCTAGACTGTCTTGATTACACCTGTTTCTTATGCTTTTCAATAACGATTTGTTTGGAGAGGGTGTTGGTAAGATTCGAGTGAATGATTATGACGATGACGATGACGACAACGACCCTGGAAATATCTCTTTCTTTTTAACTTTATACAAAAATGATTTTAATATATATATATTTTTTTTATTTTATTATTATATCTCCTTCATATCGTATCAAAATAGTTTATATTTAAATTTTATACAATATTTTGTGTGTTAACGATTGTCACAGTAGTAATAAACCTAAACGGATTATTATAACAAGATAATGATGTTTACATACTACGATAATTTTCATTGCATAAGTTTTTGACTTTAGCTTTAAATAATGTCATTTAACAATTAGACATTTTAAGGTCATCGCATACGAGTATAAAATTAATTAAGAGTAGTTAATTGATAATAAGGTATATTAATTCTCCATCATGATTTAATAATACAATTTTAATTAACGTCTTGAAGAATATAACAAGATTTTATAGAACGTATTTCACATACTTAATCATACCTCGTGATTATCAACTCACGTGTAATAGATTTCTCTGTTTTTTTTTTGTTTTTTCATCAATTAACTCTGCTTTTTAATTATTATTGTTCTTCTTGTTATATTTTCAGTAGGTTTTTATCAAACATGATTATTATATCGCGTTTAAAAATAATAGAATTTTATTAACAATTATTTCTTAATTTATATAATACTTATTTGCAAATATATAATTAAATTTATTAATGCTTCGTATGTTGTAATCTTTTTCTTCGTGTCTTCAAGTCTGTGTCAATGATCAATTTCGTGACTTCGCAAGCCAATTGACTTTTACAAGCGGCAACGGTGTTCGGTTTCATTAGATTGAAAGGTCCACCTAAGGTGAATGCACAAATCCTTGGTAAAAAAAAATAAAGCGAGCAATAGCTAAAAAAGGAAGGGCAACGTTAAATATATTATAACTAGATTCATTTATTGTACCTTTCGAATCCAATAAAGTACCACCAGCTTCAGTTACTATTAACATTCCTGCTGCTACGTCCCAAGGTCGAAGACCATCCATTTGAAAGCAATCTATTACGCCTTTAGCAACATAAGCTAACGATAACGCAGCAGAACCTATATTTCTTACACTAAAAAGTAATCGATCTAAATCTTTCAATATCATTTTGATTAGATAGATCAATTATTATTATTATTTCATAAACTTACGCTTGACATGCATCGAATAAAGCCAATAATCTACCAATAACTATGTCTTTGTGCTCGCACATTTTGATACTTCCAAGTTCATACGCCAACATTGTTTTCTTCAATTCTAAATTAAAAAAAAAAAAGAAAAAAAAAACAATGATAATAATAGTATTTATATTTTATTGAAAGATTTATTAATATTTTATTTGTTTTTATTAAATGTAAAGAATTGATTTACCTGTTACATCGGATACTCGAATAGGTTCTCCATTTAGGTACGCACCTTGACCTTTTTTTGCCGTATACAGTTCACAATTGATCGGATTATAAATAATTCCTAGAACTATTTCTTTACAAATAGATAAACCTACGGAAATGCAGAATTGTGGAAAAGAATGTACGAAATTGACTGTACCGTCGATCGGATCGATTATCCATGTTGGTGCGTCAGTCAATTCTGAAAGCTCCGATTGGCCAGTTTTTTCTTCCCCGATGAATCTGTGTTATCATTTAATAGGTCTTTGATAAAAACATTTATTCGTTAAACGTTGTTGTTGTTATTATTGTTATTGTTTTACTCACTTATGATCAGGAAATTCCTTTTTAAGTGTTTCGAATAAAAATTCTTCAATTTTGTAATCAAAGTTTGTAACTAAATCTGTCTCGACTGTTTTAGATTTCACTATTTTTTCCGATTTTTCCACACTTGTAATAAACTATGAACAAAAATAAGGATACGTCAATGTATAATTTCTTTTTGTATTTTTTTTTTTTATTTTTTTTATTTTCTTGTCGTTGTATTTTTATTTGTCGTACCTTTCCAGCTTCTAACGTTAAATTTTTCGCAATTTCGAAATATCTCGCGATGTCATCCTGATCATTAGCCATAATCGTAGTTAAAGATATTTTTGATAAAGTGACTGTCCGATTAAACGTAAGAGAAGTCTGCTGACTCTTTCTTATCTTATTGTGTGAAAATAACAGTGATATTTGATTCTGAAGATGGCGCCGGTTAATGGATTTCCACATTTAAACAAAATAAATTATTTTTATTTCAATTGAATATTTTTTACAAACCTATATTAATTAACAACTTAAGTTGTTCAATTATTCAACTTTGTGAAGTTTGAGAAATAATATGGTCGATGATTTAAAAATATATTTCGTTTATAGGATCGATTAATCGATTTTTGTTTTTAATCGGTCAAACCTAAAACGTTGATTTATTTAACATTTAATTATTAATTATTATTTTGTTCTAAACATTGTGATATTTTCTTTTCATTTTCTTTTTTTTTTTTTTTTTTTTGTTTAAATACAATTTTAATCATACTCGTATTAGTTTTTTAATTAATCAATTTCTTGATCGAATTTCGTAATACAATAGAACCCTCCCAATATTCAGAACATATTTGAAATTTAACTAATTAATTGAACGTTTCTTTCATTCAAATAATAATATCCTTGAATGTTCGAGTATATGTATTTGACTCCATTTATTGGATTACGTAATTAAATTTGGAGATAATAATAATTTGAGTAAAAGTAAACAAATTCTTAAACGCGTAAAGACCACAAAATTCATTCAAAAGCTGTTTTAGCAACGTATGTTGTGTATATATGTGAGTTTATGATAGTGAAAGAGAAGATAATAATGGTGTACGTACTCGGAATCATGAAAATATTTGCTTGGATAAGAAGGTTCGTTTAATGGAAAAATTTGTAAAGTTCTATTTCACGTAATATAATTTACAATTAGCAAATTGTGTCAAACGATCAAATCAAAATCTTCTCATACGTAAACTAAATACATTCAACTTTTGATTATTCGAATACTTTATCTTTTTTATTAGTAAATAATCGAGGTTCTACTGTATACACTGAAACCTTTGTTTTATTAAATACAAAATTTCTTTTTTAATACTATAAATCACACTTTCACACAGACGAACAGAACAATCCAACTGTTCCTTAGAAACTGGTAGATAGGACTTTGGTAAGATATCAGTCGTTCATACAATTATCGTTGTTTAAGAAAAGGTGATAATTTTATTATCTTACTCTTACGAGAGAAGAGTTAACTTTAAAAGTTATTACGTTGTTGCATTTTGAAATATTGATCTTCTTTGATGAGTCTTCGTATCAGCTTGTTGGATCAATTTAACTAAATCGTATCCTAATTTTGGATTACCAACTGCAATTACTTTTGGTGACATCACGTTGAACTCTCCACCTAATTTATTATAATGATAATGATAATGATAAGATAATTAACTAATATAATTTAAATGGAATTTTAGATAATATAATATTTGATATTTGATAAAAAAAAAAGTACCATTTGTATCGATGACTGCACCACCAGCTTCTTGAATTATTATCACACCTGCTGCTACATCCCAGGGCATTAAATTGTCACAATGATAAGCTTCTGCAGCACCCATTGCTATATAACAAAGTGTCAAAGCTGCTGAACCCATTGTCCTTATTCCATGAGCTATCGATACAAATGCTTCTAATCTACCCAATATGATATCTCTGATATTTTCTATTGCTGCAAATGAAGCTTCCAAACATAGCAAGGAATGTTTCAAATCTGTAAATTTATTTGATATTATCGAATGAATTTCTTTGTTTGTTTGCTTTGTATATTATTGTAATTACCAATTTCAATTTAGTTTTTGAATCATACCTGGTACTTTTGAAGTTTTTATTGGTTTCCCATTTAGAAATGCACCACAACCTTTTCTAGCAGTAAACAATTGTTCCAATATTGGATTATATACAATTCCTAGTTGAAGTTCTTTGTTAACTGACAAAGCAATTGATATACAAGTAAAGGGAAAAGCATGAACGAAGTTTGTTGTTCCATCGATCGGATCTATAATCCATGTTGGTGTATTTGTCAATTCTGGTAGGCATTTTGTTTTTGAAACTGTTTCCTCACCGATAAATCTACAAAAAGAGAGATGATTGTAAAATAAGTAATTCGTCAAAATTATATAAGAATTTGATAAAAGTAATTTTTTGTTTTTAATAAACACTTTCCAAATTAGTTTTATTGAGTCATGTTTATCCATATTTTAGTTTTCTTTGTAAAAATGAAATAAAAATATTCTATTATTATGGAAATTATAATAGGAAAACACATAATTATAAATAAAATTGTTGTTTATATAAAATAATCGTGTCAATTATGAATAATGTTGTATGTTAAATTATTATACTAACTTGTGATTAGGAAATTCTTTCATAAGATTATTAATTAAAATTTCTTCGACCTTTTTATCATACTGTGTCACTAGATCCCAATCGGCAACTTTAGTTTCAATTTTTTTATTAGTAATATCAATGGCCTCTCGTATTACCTAATACAAAATAAAAGATTGTTATCGGATAATACAAGATCGTTATTATGTTACAACATAATAACACGATACAAGTAATAATATCTTTTCAACTTATATTATTAATTGTGTTGTATAATAAATCATTCTACAAAGTACAGTTGGGAAGGCCATAAAACATGATGATAATTTTATTGAATAAAAAATGATAAGCATATTGTAATCTACATACACATTCCAGTTGAAATAAGAACAACATATATTATGATATGTATATATATATATATATATATATACATCATTTCAAAGATATTGTTATTTCAACAAAAAAGTTTTATCAAAAAGTAAATCATTTTTTATTAGGTCTAGAAACATAATTTGATTTTAAATGATAATAAATAATTCGTAATAATTATTAAAAAAAAACTCATACGTGTCAATATAAAACAAATTAAATTTTAATTATGTAAAATTAACAAAAAATATGCTTATAATCATAATTCAATAATAATTATTTGAATAATTTAATTTAATAGATATTAAATATATATCATTTTATTAATTATACTTTAAAGTCCAATAATAATTATTTGAATAATTTAAATTAATAGATATTAAATATAT